CTGTTGTAATGCCCCTCTTTTGCCTCTAATTTATTTATTTGGGTTTCTTTTTTAAATTATCTACCGTTTGGTTAGTGTGGCTAAGGATTGCTAATCTTATTGGTTTACCAAAGAACTAATTTATTGCTACCTTGATTCTTAGTAATTATTTATTTGTTTTTATATATTTGATTCTTAATACTAAGTTGAATTATTTCTTCCCACATAATCTTTTTCAGGATTATTTCTTCTCATTGCTCTAGAGTTTTTAGGTGTGCCACTACACAATATAAACTGAAGGTGTTCATTCAGTGTTATGCACGTGCCTTTAGAACCACTTTCATTGTGTCCCATTGGTTTGGGTACACTGTGATTTCATTGTCATTCAATTCAAAATGTTTTTCATTCTCTTCCATGACTTCTGTCTTGATTCAATTTTCATCCAGCAGAGAATTGCTCCGTTTCCACAAGTTTATAAGATGCCTGTTTTCTTTTGTTACTGATACCCAGCTTTAGTCCATGGTGGTCAGAGAGAATTATTTCAATTTCTTGCACCTGTGGAGACTTGCTTTGTGTCCTACTATGTGGTTGCATTTGGAGAAATATGCTACTGAGCACATTGAGCTACTGAGAAGAAAGTGCATTCCTCGGTGTTTGGATGAAATGTTCTGTAGATGTCTGTTAGGTCCATCTGATTTTATGATGCTATTCAATTCTAGCATTTCTATGTTTAGTTTTGACCTGGTCTTGAACTCCTGAAGCTCTTGATTCTACCTCCCAAACTTTGGGATTACAGGAATATGCCACCACATCATCTCAGTGCTAGGTTTTCTGAGAATTCATGCCACGCAGTCAACTATTTTTTGGATAAATCTACTGAATTTCAAAGCAACTATTTAATTTGCTAAATAAGCTTTTATTTTTTTCCCTTGAAGGGGTGCAAGGGAACCTAGTACACCAGTTACACAGCATCAGTTTGTTCTGTAGACGTCATGTGTTCCTTTGCCTATTTATTGGGGAGCGCATTCAGATAAATACAAAATACTGTGTGGCTTCCCCGGTGCAGACTTTGCTTGACTCCTGGCAGGCCAGTGCTTCTCTTGTATCTCTGTGTCTACCTCACCAAGTTATCACAGGTTCCATAACAACAGGGAGCAGCCAGCCAGGCCCAGCATCCATGAAAGCGCCACCATGCATTGGCTTGACAGTTCTCCCATTTCCTTAAAGAGTTCCTTCTACTTAATTGGCCAGCAACTAGGTCACAGCTTGTTAGGATTTTTCTCATGGTGAATCTACTCATTGATTTCCTTCTTAGGCGTGTTTAATTTGGCATATGTAGTGTGACTTAAGAAAATAGACTATCTTCCTATTTTCCTTAGAGGTAGATAAGACAAAAGATGGGGAAAAAAATCGAAGATTTGTTGTTTTGCAGTGATCATCTGTGGTTATGGCAAGTGCAAGACTTTTCTGGTCCAGAGCACCTATACAAGCCTGCAGTTCCCTCGGAACGGTTTAGTGATTACTGTTCGCACATTGATAGCTCGGCACCACGCTTCACCTGTGATGTGTGTGATGACAGACCTTTTAACTATATTGACTTGATACATCTTAGAATCACCTGGGGTTTAAAATGTCTTAATGAGGAATTATCTAATCAGGTTGGGCTGCGGAAATGTCTGTAGGAGATTACCTTGACTGTTAATTGACGGAGGAGAATTCAGCTCTTTGTGGGCAACATTAGTCTCGAGGCAGGAGGTCACAAATTATAGAAGATGGAAGAACACAAGCCAGTGAGTGCCTGGAGGCATGGACCACTTGCTTTTCTCTGCTCTTGACTGTGGCTGTGACTTAGCTGCTTTAAGTTCCTGCCTTGACTTACCCGCAGTGATGGACAGTAACCTGAAATTGTAGGTCAAAGAAACCGATTTGTCCCTCAGTTGTTTTTTTGTTAAGATAATATATCACAATAACAGAAATGAAACCATAGCAAATTAGTTCCCTTTTTATTGTTATGACCCAAGTACCTGATGTAAAAGCAAGTTAACTTTAAGAGATAAAGGCCTCATATGCACGGTGGCAGGAGCATGTCACATTGCATCCAAAGTCAAGAAGCTAATAAAGTATACAAAGTGGAGTTTGTCAGACTTCAGACTTCACCTTTGGGTTACCCTTTTCCTCCACCAAGGCTTTACATACTGAAGGTTCCATGACTTTAACAAATACTGCCACCATCTGGGGATTAATGGCCCAAGACACAAGTCCATAGAGGAAATTTCACATTCAAATTATAACAGTCTCCATTTTAATGAAAGCACAAAGCCATAATTAAATTAGCACAAGTGTGTGTGCTGCTGGTTTGAGTAGCTGTGTCTCTGCCTCTGTCCAGTACAGCCTTGTTGGAGATGATGCTTCAAGGGATGTGTGCTGTTCCGAGAGAACGAGCTCTTGTGCTCATGGACCGGGATTGAGCATCTTGAGAGAGGATCATTACAAAGCAAAGCAGCTCCATTTTGCTTTTTTGCAGGGACCTCATGCGACTTCTCTGCTCGCACTTCTACTGCTGGACATGCAGGCCACCATAGCTGTCTATGCTGACTGCTCCAGGTCCCCTGATTAGAAGCCGGTTCTGGCACCATGCTCTTGAGCTTCCAGAATCCTTTGGGTTTAGTGTGCCCAACTTCAGTCATGTTCTTACAGTAAGGCAGGGTGGAGCCCTGCCATGTCAGGTAGGGTGGGGTCTCCTTTACATCTTCGACTTTTCTGAGTGATGCTTCAGAAATTGGAAGATGGTTTATTTCTGAGTCTCACAGTGAGGAGCTGAAGATCATAGGAGCATCATGGTAGGAGGTAGGGGGGAGGGGTACGCTCTGGAGTTCACACTTCAGCAACCACACCATGGAGCCAGCCAGAGGGAAGAGAGGATGGGAAGACTTTTCCTTTGCTGATATGGAATCTGTAGTCTTCTAAGGACAGACACCTTCTCTTTAAGACATTGACAACCAAATGCAAAGAGAGAAAAAAGTAAAGAATTAGCAAACAATATTGTGACTATCTTGTGCAGGGTCAGTCAAAAAGAAAGACCCCAGACTAAAACAATCTTAGGAGGAATAACAAATTAGAGAGAGAAGTAAGGAAAGCCTAACAGGATGGCAGGACGGTGAGATCCCTGAGCAGATGAGGCGGGAAACTTGGGGTCAGTCTGTTAAGAACACAGCATGGCCCAGCTTAAGGAAAAAAAATCAAACCCAAACCAGCAAGCCAATTGGCATCAATCACGGTGAATAGCAATGCGACCATCAGAGGTGGGGTTCTCACTGACACTGACACAGTAGGACTCAGAATCTAGTCCTCGGAGAGAAGAAAGTCCTGGCGGCAGTTCACAAGGAGAGGAGAGAACTCAGTGAGCTCTGATGCCCATGAGTATAGGTAAGGGGAAGCCTGGAATTCAAAGACCCCAGTCCGGCGGTTGCTCTCATCTACTTGATACCACTGAGCAGAACATTCTAATTCAGAGCGGTAGGCTAAGCATAGAAAAGCAAGGCTGGCCAGTCCTTGACTATAGAGCAGCAGGCGTTGGAACAGATGACCCACAAACTGTAATCAGAATTTGGAAGCATTTGTCTGAGCATTTAAGAAGGTAATTTTATCTTTTCTAAGCATGCAAACAAAAATAAGCATAGATATTAATCATGAGTTTTATATAAAAATTTTCAATTCAGTATATCATACATAAAATGTCAAGAGGGAGAAAAGACATATGGATGGGAGGTCTCCGTAAAGGTTGTTCTCGGACTGGAGAGATGGCTCAGCGATTAAAGACTAGGCTTATAACCAAAAACACAAGCTCTGCTTCTCTGCAAGTGGGCTGCCAGACTGCACCAGGGATTTAGAAGGGGGTTCTGGCTCCAACTTCCTGTCCTTCGTGACTTCCTGTCCACTGACTGACTGCAGAGTCTGAATGGCTTTAGTTTGGAGGCTGGTCACTGAATAAAGCCTACTTCAGAGGAAGGTCTTATAAAATGCTCTTCCAAGGGGAGGGAGTTGGGGGGGGAGAGGGAGTGGGGGAAATGGGAGGGTATGAGGAGGAGGGGAGGAAGTGGAAATTTTTATAAACAAATAAATAAATTAATAAAAAATCAAATAAACAAAAAAAATACTCTTCCAATGAGTAAACGTGAAGTCTTTGGGAAGGTAGAGCTGACAAACAGATATGTACCCGGCCACTCTAGTTGTGATGTCTGTCGAAAAGCTGGGAATCATGGGAGATCAATGAGGACAGTGGTGAGTGCAGGCCCTGAGCCGCACACCCGGAAGCTCTGCCAAGGGGCGCTGTTCCACCTCAGAAGAAAGGGTAAGAGCCAGGAATCAGGGAGGGCTAGAGGGAAGAGTGTCCTCTCAACATGACAGGAACACTGTCACTTGTGAGCTCACGACAGGTATGCTTGCTTGCACACGACCTACACGAAATCAAGCCAGTCAACATTCCCATATGGTGGAGGTGGTTCAAAGCCCCTATGCCTACCCCGGAAGCGGTTGATACTTGTTAGCTTCTAGATGAGGAAGATGGTGTTTTCCTTCAGGATGTAGTTCCTAGTAAGTCAACCACACTCCAGTAGATTGCTCCACACATGGCTTTATGGGAAACACAAAAATAGGTATTGTGCTTAGGCCAGGAAGGCAGAATTGGTGCCTATGCTAACAGTAGAAAAAGCCTCTGATCTTGGAAGGTCAAACCACCATGATTCAAGGTTAAAATAAGTGTAGCCAATAGTCTCCTACCTACTGCACCCGTGGAAGCATGGCGAGGCTTCTGATTAAGCAATCCTTGGTTCATCCTGAAGGCAGGTGGTAGTGTCCTTTGTCATTTGTCCTTTGACATCTAGAGTCTCTCTCTGTGTCTCTGAAAAATGAGAGAAAACGGAACCAGAATGATAGCCCCTGCTAGGTGATCAGAAACACATTTTGGCATCATGTTTTCGTAGATCTAAATGTGCAGGTGCTGATGTCTGCTCTGCTTTCAGATGGCTACCCCAAAGAAGAAATGGTGTACCGCTGGAGGAAGAACTCAGTGGAGGCAGCAGACCAGAAGTCATGGCGGCTCTATCAGTTCGACTTCATGGGCCTCAGAAACACGACGGAAATCGTGACAACGTCTGCAGGTAGGAACACTGACAGAGAGGTCGGTGACCTTTATCTCCTGCTTGCCGAGCTCCTGCCAGGCCCTGGTGGATTTCCATTGCATGCTTAAATGATGATTCTTACGTAGCCAGGAGCACTCAGGACCATATTTAAGAAAATACAGCTGATTAAATAATGAAAATACGCTAAAGGTTTAAGATTGGGTAAGATCGGAGCAATTGGAACTGACTTCTATTTTTGAGTAAACTCTATGGAGGCATGATATCTACGAACTTAACCAGGCTGCTCAGAACTGCCTGGTTTATGTAATCCTAACTGCACTGCTCGGGACTGGGTGATTTGTAAATCTGTTTTATTTCTATTTATTTATTTTTTTAGTTCATTTATTTATTTATTTACTTTTAAAATCTATTATTTTTCATTTTACATACCGATCCCAGTTCCTACTCTCTCCCCTCCTCCTGGTCCCTCCACCTTTCCCCCCACCCCACCCCCATGCTCTCTTCAGAGAGGGTAAGGCTTCCCATGGGGATTCAACAAAGTCTAGCCCTTTGCTTTGAGGAAGGACCAAGGCCTTCCTCATTATATCTAGGCTGAACAAGGTATCCATCCTCAGAGAGTGGGTTCTAAAAAGCCAGTGTAAGCAGTAGGGATAAATCCTGGTCCCACTGCCAGTGGCCCCACCGTCTGCCCCAGCCATCCAACTGTCACCCAACTTCAGAGGATCTAGTTTGGTCCTATGATGGTTCTTTCCCTGTCAGGCCAGAACTGGTAAGCTTCCATTATTAGCTCAGGTAACCTGAGCTCATATTTTCACTCCTCCTACTCTTCAGCTGAGTTTTGGGAGCCCACTGCTCTGCTGTGAATCTCCACCTCTGCTTCCATCAGTTGCTGGACGAAGGTTCTATGGTGGCATTTAAGATAGTCAGCAAGGCCAGCTCAGGCACCCTCTGCTCTATTGCTTAGGGTCTTAGCTGGGGTCATCCTTGTGGATTCCTGGGAATTTCACTAGTGCCAGGTTTCTTGCTAGCCCCATAATGACTCCCTCAATTAAGATATCTCTTTCCTTGCTCTCATCTCTGTCTTTCCCCAATCTCAGCTATTCAGTTCCCTCAAGTTCTCCTCCCGCTCCCAGTCTCCCCTCCTCCTCCCCTTCTGCCCTCCCTTCTTTCCCCACACCCATGCTCCCAATTTTCTCAGAAGATCTTTTCTATTTCCCCTTCCCAGGGGCATCCCAACAATGCAGATTCTGCTATATCCTCTCTCCCAAGACTTAGGTGCCCCGGAGACTTCTCAAGTAGAAGGAGCTGGTGAAAATGTCCTTTAGTAACAGGTTTTTACTCTTTACTTTATTATTGTAAAATTTAAGATGGTTCTAAATTTATAATAACATTGAGAACATTAATTTTATGTCATTGTGATTATTTACTCCTATTGTATAGCATCAATTATATGACAAGTATGCATAGATTAATTTAATTTTTTATGTCTGTGACCTTTTTCCTTGTATTTGGTATTTAGTTGTTATAGTCAATTGTCTCTCAATTGACTTTCTTCTAGCAGATGTAAAGATAAGATCTTGCTGTTTGCTAATATGAATAGGATTTGCTCTGAAAAATCCCATAATAAATTATTTTACTGATGACTAGAGTAATATATCAGCTTTGTAATTATAATATATCATCTTAAAACTGATTAAACAATTAAGTATATCTAATGACAAAAATTGCATAGTAACCATATACATATTCAAAAGGGTCCTGAAGAGCTACCTGATAAACTATGAAAGGGTTTTGTCTTTTTCCTTATGGAGTTGAGCATTGCCCTTCCAAGGTCTGTAAAGAGTTGTGTTGGGATTTTGGTAGGGATTGAGTTGAATCTGTAGATTATTTGGGTAGGATAGACATTTTTACTATGTCAACTCCATCAATTCATGAGCATGGGAAATCTTTCCATCTTCTGATATCTCCTCTAATTTCTTTCTTCAAAGACTTGACGTTTCTGTCATACAGATCTTTCACTTGCTTGGTTAGTGCTACCCTAAGATATTTTATATGTGTGACTGTTGTGAAGGGTGCCATTTCCCTGATTTCTTTCTCAATCCATTTATCATTTGTGTATAGGAGGGTTTTTCTTTGTTTTTAAAGTTAATCTTGTATCCATCCACTTCACTAAATGTGTTTATTAGCTATAGAAGTTCCCTGGTAAATTTAGGAGTCACTTACGTATCATCTACAAATAATAATACTTTGGTTTCTTCCTTTTCAATTCTTATCTCCTTGATCTCCTTCAGCTGCCCTATTGCTCCCCCTAGAACTTCAATTACTATATTGAATAGATATGAAGAGAGTAGGCAACCTTGTCTTGTTCCTGATTTTAATGAAATTGCTTTGAGTTTCTCTTCATTTGATTTAATGTTGGCTATTGACTTGTGATAAAATTTTCTTTATTATGTTTAGGTGTGCCCCTTGTTTCCCTAATGTCTACTAATCTCTTTGATCAAGAAGGGATGTTGGATTTTGTCAAAGTCTTTTTCCAGCATCTTAGATGATCATGGCTTTTTTTTTCTTTTTTCAGTTTGTTTACATGGTGGATTATATTGACTGGTTTTTGTATGTTATTCCATCCTTAGACATATGCAATGAAGTCTATTGGATCATGATGGGTGATCTTGATGTGTTTGGTTGGGGAGTGTTTTATTGAGTGTTTTTGCATCCATGTTCATGAAGAAAATTGGTCTATAATTCTCTTTCTTTGCTAATCTTTGTGTGGTTTGGGTGTCAGGGTGACAGTGGCCTCATAAAATAAATTAGGCAGTTAAATAAAGTAAATTAGGTAGAAGTTGGGAGATATTTAATGACTGGTTCTGTGATCAGGAACAATGTATGAGAAAAGAATATAAAATAAGTAAAATAATATAAAGATAAAAGGGGAATATCCCTTGTAGGGCAGGTGTCACTGTGGTTTGAAAGGTAGATTGGTTTACTGTTAAGTGATAAAAGTCGGAAGGATGAAGAGTCATGACTTTATTAAATGGACTGGGGAGGCAGCAGTCAATGTTTGAGGAAATGCCTTCCCAGTTCTGACATTCTTTAGATTTCACAAAAATGCATATTTTACTAACCAAAACCCAAGGAAAAACCTCATAAGAAGAGAAAGAGACCAAGAGATGATTAAGATAGTGAAGCTACCTAACAATGGCTTTAGGATGGAAATAACTTATTTTTTAAAAAAAAAAATGATGGGTTGGGTGTGGTAGCACATTGTCTTTAATCCCAGTATTCAATGGGCCAGTGAATCACCAAGTGTTCAAGACCACCCTGGTCTGTATAGCAAGTCCTTGTCCCAAAAGGGAAAGTATGGATAATTTCACAAGAGAACACTGATTTTTGGATTTTTGAACAAGAAATACACCATTTAGAAATGTAAGAAAGAACATTCTGTAATTTTTTAATTGAGAATGCAAAAAAAGATCAGCTAAAATAAGAAGTGAGAAGATATGGGGATAAATATGAAAGCTAACCATTAGGAAACATCAAATTATATAATAATTTAGAGTTAAGCAGGCAATAAGTGGGAGAGATGACATATGAAGTTTTCATGTAAGTGTCTTTGGTTAAAAAAAAAAAGTAACAGTAATTAGAGTCCCAGAAACGGAGCTCATAGACAGTGAGTTAAAAGAGAGAAAACATATATTAAATTGAATTTTCAAGTTCAGTAAACTGTCCTGTGCAAAGGGTCAATGAAAAGGAAGTTCCCAGACTATCTAATGGAGAACTAGGAGTGTGTCTTTAAGCATCTAGAAGAAAAGACTGAAGCAAAACTAACACAGATGTCTGACTTTGTACCAGGATAAATAACAACCTATAAATATTGAAATTCTAGGCATGAAAAGAGTCAAAGAATTTTAGAGATAATAAAATTGCCAATGGAAATCAAGAGAAAATAATCTTTTCAGACTTTAAGGAAGAAGAGTATGGTGCCGAGAGCTTCATAATGAGCTACCATCCTCTCAAAGACATTTAGAAGCTAAACCTTGCCCTGGCTGTATCAAAATTGTCCTAGACAGTCATGAACCTTAGCCAACTTTTCTAAATAATATAGTCAGGACATGTGGTATTTTTTGGGCTATGGTGTGTGATCATTCGGTGGGGTTCAGCCTTCAGGAAACTATGCAGAACAGGTTCAGGAACACAGTGCCGGCTCTTCGGAAATACATCCTGCAGAGAGCTAAAATGAGAGCCATCTTCTAAAGACTCAGAACCATTTCTCACGTGGCTAGATTGTAGTCGCTAGGCTTTCAAACACACCATTGCATTAGATGGTGAGATCAAATAGAAGCCTGGGGCTCAAAAATTAATTGCCGTAGTAACTTTTTTTGGCATGTTTCGCTGGCAGGCTCCGGCGAGGACCTGGGGAGAGTCTAGTTGTCGGTCAGATGCTAAAGCATCACCGTGCCGTGACCACAGCTGATACTTCTGATGTTGATTCATGCTTTAAGTACAGAAGCAACGCTCGGTAATTGTCCAGAGTCCAAAACCATCACTGTGTGTCTGAAGCTTCCGTTGTCACCAGTGTTTAATACCGAGAACAAAGCTTTCAACGGTTCCCCAGCCACCCACTCTAAGCACAGAGGACAGGTGCTGCACCATGGGGCCAGATGGTCCTGTGTCATTAGAACTGCTCTGTGCCCCTAGCCCTGGGCAGTTCCTGTGACCATCACAAGTGAGCTCCCTGATGCAAGAGGAAGTCTAAGTAATCAAACTGATAAAATGAAGAATGTCCTAGTCCGCGTGCTTAGGGAGCATTAAATTACATAGCGTTGAAGTTAGCTGAGGTGTGCTGCCTCCAGTATGCCCGTGGCAATGAGTAGACCGCACTGAGCACTGAGCATGCTCCTTAGCTGAGGAGTGCGGTCTCTAGTGTGAATAGAGAGAGCTGGTCCACTCACCAGGCTTGATAGAAACTGTAAAGAAAAAATTATATATACCACCCTTTATGCTGAAATGCAGGGCCTTAG